TTAGATGATGATGCCACCAAAACACAATTCTATTTTCATTTTTAAACCAAGTCTATTGGGTGCCCTAACTCACAGGGCAAAATGCTTTTGGGAAGATCTTTCAGGTATATTTTTGATTCTATTACTAGTTGAAGAGACACAGAGACATTTCTAATAATCATGTTCTTCCCATATATTCACTAGCTGGTGATATTTAAATTATCATTCATGTGGTGCTGAAAGCATGTCAAGCGGCTTTGGGCCAATGAATAAAATAATATAAAATTAAAGTTTTAAATTATCCCTGGAAGCCTGCAATTAACAGGCATCCACAAGAAAACTGGGCAACTAGAGTAATCATTATTTACCTAAATTAATTAATTTTTCTCAATTTCATGTCATAAAAAGCAGCTAAATCAGTTTAAGTTATCGTATCTTAGTCCCAATTTAAATCTACTAAGTTATCAATAATAATTTAAAGTATGCTTAAATGGATAGCAATTAAAACTGATAGCATAAAGCCAAAAAAGACTATTAGTGATCCCTAATGATTTATGCAAAGAACCGTCATTTTATTCTATTATTTCAAAGCTGTACACAAAATAAAGCTAAGCATTCTCTTTTAAGTCCTTATATAAACCTCTGAATCTATTTGGTCTGATTGAGAGTCCACTTTGCCTAAAGATAGCATATTAAATAGGATTAGCAAAACATGAAAGAACATGAAAAATATATATATATACACTATGTGTATATATATAATATGTTAATATATATTTGTTAATTCTAATTAATGTGTATAACTATTTTAAGTTCTTTTTATTTTTAAAGCTCTTAAAATCACAGTAAATTCAGGTTCCCCTTTTCTTCATAGTTCTTGAAGTCTACAGAAAGAGATATTCTAAAATATCCCAAGCATTTCAAACACTGAATAATTATAAAATACTATTCTGTGATAGACTTTATTTCCAACCATGCCCTGACCCATGTTATTTGTCGTTGGAAAGACAAGAGGGAAGAAAAGAGAGGGATATAGATGATGTTTTCAAAGGTGGCAAAGAAAATTGAAAAATAATTGAAAAGCAAAAAGTGAAAAAAAAAAAAAGCTAGTGTAGGAAATTCAGTTAGACCCATTTGGTATGGAGTGCATCTTAGTTCATCTTCCCAGAAAATTATAGGGATCCTTGGCCACACATGTAAAATCTTGTCTCTGCATCTTTTTGTCCTCACCCACTTGGAGCTGAAGAAAGCCTGTGAACTTCATCAGGCAGAGAGCTCATCTTATCCATATTTGCGTCTCCTCCAGAACCTAGCCCTGTGTCCGGCGTATAGTGAATACAGAGCTCTCAGCTGAACTCATTGATCCCTTCTTCAAAGAGGGCTTCCTTAATCTTCTGTCTTGCAAGACCAATTAGTTTTCATCACACAAATGTTGCATTCTATTGTCATTAAGCATTTTTTTCTTCCTCCCAGTGAATAGAAACAAATAGAATAAGGCATTTACTTTGGTAGTCTCTAGTACTTTCTTTCTGAACTGTCTTTCACTTTGATGTGATTGCTTTTCTGCCTGGATAACTCTATCTAATGCTCTGTTACCCTGCCGATAAACAGGAAATTATTTTTTCATCACTTATTTATCCTTAATGTAAGTTGGTTTGCTTAGCTATTTGCAGTTTAATCCTTTAGTCATTATTGGGAATGAAAATCATAGATTCCTTTGATAGGGGCTTTTGTTTAAAGTATAGCAAAATATTGACAGAAAGGGTAAAAAAAACCTACAATTATTTATATACTATGTTATATTAGGGTGTTGAATTTCATACTTGCTTGGGTTCACATTCAGCCATAAAGGTAACTAAAGAGATGCTACATCTCCTCCACCACTCCCAGCTTCATATAAACACATACATTACCAGTCCTTCACACTGAACTAGAAACCTCTCGAGATGTATATGACATATGTACATTCAAAAAATTCCGCTGATATACCTTGATATGCTGTCATTGTTGAGAATCCTTATACTAGATCCTTTTACATGATATCTTATTTAATCTTAAAATGCTCCTATGGGCAAAGTAGTTTTACTCATATTATAGATGAGCAAATTAATGCTTAGAGGAGCTAAGTATCTTGTTCAAAGCCACAAGGCTAGTATTTTCTGCAGAGCCAGAATTTGAATCCAAGTCAGTAAGACTCCAAACCTATTTATTTTCAAATTTTATTACCACATACATCTGGTGCCACTAAAAACTGATCCTTCAAGTAACATCCCTCTAGTCAATGGAGAATATGGCTGATGGCCAGAGTGGGTCTGATAGAGTGGATCTATCAGAAACCCAGGAAGACAGAGAAGGCACACTCAGCTGGAACATTTAAGAACACTTAATATAGGACAGTTTACAACAGTGTAGGAAGTACCCTAAGATTAGTTATGGTACCTAAATGGTTAACACCTGTATTAGTCCATTTTCATGCTGCTGATAAAGACATACCTGAGACTGGGAAGAAAAACAGGTTTAATTGACTTAAAGTTCCATATGGCTGAGAAGACCTCACAATTATGGCGGAAGGCAAGGAGGGGCAAGTCATGTCTTACATGGATGGCAGCAGGCAAAAGAGAGAGCTTGTGCAGGGGAACTCCTTTTTAAAACCATCAGGTGTCATGAGATTTATTCACTATTGTGAGAACAGCACAAGAAAGACCTGACCCCATGATTCAGTTACCTCCCACTGGGTCCCTCCCATGACAAGTGGGAATTGTAGGAGTTACAATTCAAGGTGATATTTGGGTGGGGACACAGCCAAACCACATCAACAACTGTAGGCCTAAAACTATGAGCCTCAAGAGGGGTGGTAGAAAAGAGAAGGAGAATAAAAGGGAGAGGGAGACAGAGAGAGCTTCCTGATAGGGCTGTAGCCTCTAGTCCAGGGATATAACCAGATCGTCACATTCCTGGGGGTGGGGTGGGGTTAGGGTGTTATCTTGCTAGTCTTTGCTGTTGACTGAATCCAACTGAAAGCCACAAGGCTAGGGAGCTTAAGAACTTAGTCTATACGCATCAGCCACTATGGACAGAGGAGAATAGCGAATGGATCTGGGTAAGTCCAACACAGAGTGTTAGCAGTGCATTTTCTCCACCTCACCCCAAAGTCTCAGCTGACTCTCCCTGACAGAGAGTTAAAACAAATAAAACCCAACAAATGTTTAAATCCTTGGTTGCAAATACTTCTGAAATGTAATAGTGTAATTCCTTACTAGGCAATTATAAACATTCACATCTGTCCTGGTTTTATGATATTGCAGACAAAGGAAGTTCGAAATATTGCTAAGGACTTTCCCTGAGATAGATAGATGATAGATAGATAGATAGATAGATAGATAGATAGATAGATAGATAGATAGAGATAGAGACATATAGACATATATACTGTATGTTTCTTTGTTGTTTTTGTTTTTCAGGAGAGGTAGTCAGGTTAGTCAAGCTATAATTTACATACAGAAAAGCTCAACCATTTTAAGTATACAATTCTATCAATTTTCATAGTGTATACAATCATATAATCCACACCGTAATGAAGAGAGAATATTTCCATAATTCCAAAAAGTTGTAAAACTTTTAAAAATCTTTAACTCAATATTTGGCATTGACTTGTGTTTCTTCTAATTTTTAAATAGAAAAAAAATAGTGATAGAAACCAGCAGAATGTTGCACATAGGAGCTGCTTTTAAGAAAGGTTTTTTTGTCTCTTAATCCTTTTGAGTAACATCAACTACCCTTGTTGGCTATTAACCCATTTCACATATATTAGACTGATCAGTGGTTCATAATCTTGGATGCACATTGAAATCTTAAATGGCCTGATGGCCAGGTAGCACCCTATTAAATCAGGAGGTCTGGGGTTGGTTCCAAGTTATAATAATCTGAAGCTTTGTAGGTGATTCCAGTGTGCATCCAAGGTTAGACCCTCTAAATTAGACCAGTTGTTCTCAAGGCTGGCTGCACAATAGAACTCCTGGGCAATTGTTTAAAAAGACTGATGCCTTCTTCCTGATTCTGATTTATACAACTTGTTCAAAAATTTGACTCTAAGAAAATAAAATAAGAGTTGAGTAATTTAGATCTCTGAATTGTTGGGCTCCACTGAATGAAGGTTTTAGAACAGCTCTGGGTGTGTGGTAGTGTTTAATAAATGTTAAATGGAGATCCTAATCCCACAGTGGAGTCAGAGAGAATAAAATATGCCTTTTCTTGGAAACACACTGTGTATTTGAAATAATTATCTTTGCAAACTATCACTTTCTGAAAATTGTCTTCCTAAGTAATTTACCTCAAATGGTAGGTCTTATATTTTAAGAGAATACCATATTTCAACTATATTTTCATACCATAATATTAGACCCCGATATATCTTATAGCACTTCCACAATTTTCCTCAAGGAAATAGACATGAAACAAGATGAAGAGACTAAGAATAAGATTTAAAGCAGCCTCCCCTTTGGAAGCATAAATGATGTGATTGTGACTCTGGGCCTGGAGAATACTGCAGCTTTGTAAAATATAGCAGTGGTACTTTCTTGCTTTTACAGTGGCAGAATATATATACAAAGGACACCTAGTGCAGTGGGTAGAACAAAAGTGAACTAAGTGTCTAACAAAACAGATGGAAGGCTAACAAAACATTATTTTTTTTTTATATTCCAGGAGCTGGTAATTAAAATAACAAAAATCTTCTTTTCAGTATGAAGCTGTTGATGGTCTCTAAGACAGAAACTCTCATTAAACAAATTTCTCAAACTTTATTGTTTTGAATAATTAATCAGCATGCTGCATCTTCCCATGTACACTAAAGACCTTAGGTCTTATTCCACAAACCTAGACTAGTACAACAAGCACCATTTTTATTAAAATAAATGTTCTTGGTTTAAAATAGAAAATATAGAGTTCATTTAATTTTACCTTCACACTTCTTATTCAACTGTTCTACTCTTTTTCTTTTTGTTTTTTTTCCTCCTTTTTAGGACCACCTCAGAAAATAGTATCACCTAAACAAGAACATGAAGATAGGAAACAGGACAAAGTCACTGATAAAGGAAGTGAAAGTGGGACTTCCTGTAATGAGCTCTCCACTTCCAGTTGTGACAGCCATTCAGAGGCAAGCACTCCCCAGGACAATCCGTCCAGTGCCCAGCAGGCAACAGCTCACCAACCGAATACCTTAACATTGGATCGACCCTCTAAAAAAGCACCTGTGCAATGGATGCCCCCACCAGACAAACGCAGAAACAGTGAACTCTTTCAGACACTCATCAGCAAGTCCCGGGAAACAAATCTGTCCAAAAAGAAAGTCTGTGAGAAGCTAAGTGTGGAAGAAGAAATGAAAAAGTGTATTCAGGATTTTAAAAAAATCCACATTCCAGATTATTTTCCAGAGCGCAAACGCCAATGGCAATCTGAACTCTTGCAGAAGTATGGGTTATAGTAATTATCACATTCCCACAGTATTTTGATGACATTCAATGTTTACTACAGTGTCACCACCTGACTGGTGTCCTAACAATGGTCAGTGTGATTCTTGCTGCTCTTCCTTGTTGTGAACAGTGGATGTGGAACAATATTTTCTTTTATTCTTTTGTTGTTGTTGTTTTTAGAAACATAATTAAAAAGGAAAAAAAAATAAATGTTAAATCAAAATGGAATATCTGATTCAAACCATTTTACAAGAATGAAAGTACAATGTGCATGATGAAGCTTAGAATCTTGATTTTTGAACTCTGGTCAACTGGACATGTTTGTCACTTTGTAACTTATCAAAAACAAACCATCATATCATACCAACTAAAATGATATATGGATGAAGCAACATCAAGTAAAATTTTAGACGATGGTTATAGGACCCAAATCTAAAGCTGTCTAAATGTTAATGCAATAAAACAAGTATTATTTTTGCATGAGTACAATGTTACACATAAATCACAAGAAATAGGGAAGCTATGTTTGTTGCTTGGAAAGAAAAAATTAAAAAAAAAAAGCCAAAAAAAAAATACTTTAGGCAAAGCCTATAAATGTAAGCTGTCTAGGAGACTGAATTTTCTTTGTTCTGGATCTGTGACTTTTTTGTGTATGTGTATGGTGTTTATGTATGTTAAGATGGTGTAAATATGCCTTATACTGTTATTTATGGCATCAACATTCATTTATTAATGCTAGTCATGGCTATTACTGTGAAACGAGTCTTTTACATCAGGCTGTGAAAATTGGTATAACGATACTTTGAAAGATCCTATTATCATGTTAATCAAAATAATATAGGGAAATGGTGAAGAGCTTTATGTATTTATTAAAAAAAGAAAAATGTATTAGAATTTCTTGATTTCTATTGACTTTTCTTTAAAAATATTCAACTGTCATCTTGTTTTCAATTTTCCTTTAAAACTCCAAGCTATAGAATGATTTGTTCAGACTTAATGTTGACAACTTTAAAACATAATTCAAATTGGAGATATAGTCAGATCCAGATAGCATTGGTATGGATTAATAAATACTTAGCCCACAAGAGAAAAAGTCTTCTTGTAAAAATACACTAAAATGTTATTTTACCTATTAACCAGATTGAACACTTCTCCAAAAACAACTAGTAAATTATCTCTTACAGATCAAGGCACAAAAATGGCAATGGCAAACTAAAAGACCAGAATTTTTGAAAAATGATTTCTTCCTGGTTGTACATGTGGAAAGAAGCTTTCTTATCATAAGCCACACAATTTTGCCTCACCATATCCACAGAAAGAAATGTATAATATCATGAAATTTCACTAAAGGAAAGGCTGAGAGAGGGTAAAAGTATCTTCAAGAATTAAAGGACTCGTTCTCCTCTGTGGTTAGTCAAAATGGAAGTTGAGCAGCATTTGTGGTAACATTTCTTTCAGCACAATAGAAGAAGATGAGCATTATCAACTCAAAGTTTAAAAAATCTGCATTCATTTTTGGTTATATTGTTAGATTTCTCACTGTACCATTACATAAAATATCACCTACTGTGGACTATTCAAAGAAACTAATATATATGATTTACCTTGAATTATCTATCATGTTTTAGGCAAACAGCTACTTTCAAGTTCTGCATTTCGTTTTGGGAAGGTTGGCAGTCCCAAAATGGCTTGATGTAGCTGCAACACACTGGTGAGAGAATACAGCTTGGCAGTAGGGTTTCCACAGTTCAAATCCCACCTGCACTACTTACTATCTGTGATCTTAGGGATAATGGGGATCATAAAGGAGCATAATACCATAGAAAACATTTAAATGATGTAATTGAAGTAATGCATCACCATCACTACTGGAGCTGGAGAGAAAAAAGGAAGGTGTTTGTCTTACTGGAGTCTAGGAACTAGCTCCATCAAATGGGGAGTTTGTAATACTGGGGGGTAAGCTGTCTTATAAGAACTATAGCTTCTAAGGAGTCACAATCACTTTCAAAGATGCTTCATGAAGCACAGAAGAGAACATTACTCTAGTTTTCCACTTCCCCACATTCTGATTTTACATCAGCACTTTCCCTCTTCCCAATATAAGTAGGAACCAGTTGTCTAAGCAGCCTAGGAAATGTAATTTGTACAAGGGTTCCCCTTGTGACACAAAGTCCAGCTGCAAAAGGCAAGGAATCAAGGAATAAATCTGAAAACCTTGCACCTTGCTCTGTTTCTTTCCCAATAAAATAGCTCAAATCGAATTGCAATGGAAATAATTTGGTAACTGGGAACTCTGTCATCTCTTCGTATCTCTACACTGTAAAATAAGTGAGGCCAGTGATAATTGTCTATTCTAACAGTACTTGCTAAATTAGAATAAAAGTTCTGAACCATGGGATAGAAGGGAGCCCACTTCAACAACCATCTTTTGAGTACTTATCATACATCAGGCATTTGTCTCAAAAGTCAACAGAAAATTCAAGAAACACAGATGACCAGCTGTTGCTTTTGGAAGGAAGCTTACAGTGGGTCTGATTCTCCCAAACCATCATGCTTTCCCCAGAAGCTAAAACCTAGCTGGCCTCTATTTGGGTTAAAAAGGGATCAAGGGAAGCAGCTAGAATGGGGGCTCTTCCTTGAAGAAAAGGAGACAGCAAACTTTAATGGTGAGTTGGGCTAAAATTGGTATATAAAACTCCCTTTCCAAAAGCCTAGTAGATAAAATCTGACAATCACCACAAATCAGAGGACTGGAATCAGGCACTGAAGTTGAATATTTATTCTTCCCCACGTGTTTTATATATTTTTTGTATACAGTAGATATTAAACTTGCGACCTGATGTGTTACCATTGCTAGTTTAAATGGAAACATTTAGTACTAAGATGAGAGAAAAAAAAATAGAAGTCAAGTGTGATATTTTTGATTCTGAAAAAATGGGTAGACTACCTTTTCCTATTCTTCCTAGTAAGTGTAATTAAATCCCTTTACATTATATTTTAAAAAAAAAGAGTAAGACTACAAAAGGCTCAAAGAAGAGGAAAGACTAGCTAGGAATAGTGGGTGGTAAGTTCCCTGAGGTTTCCTTTTGCCTCATACATCCCAGACTTGAGCCTCACACATCCCAGAAACACCAATAGGTGCAGACAAAACAAGCCCCAACAAAAGTCTGTTCTCTTTAGTCAAAAGACCATGAAAGGTGTAGCAAGACAGAAAACATTTGGATAAAGTCTCTCAGGTTGGGGAGAAGTGGACAAAATTGCATTACTTTTTTTAAGGCTCCCTACTTTTCATACAATAAAATTCAAACACTGTATAGACCATAATATAGGCTCTCAATAAAGTGGCTCCATATCAGTTTGCTTTTATTGGGCAACAAACCATTCGAAAGCATAGTGGCTTAAAAAAAAATTATCTGCTTGCAGTTCTGTAAATTGGCCATTTGTCCTGAGATCAGCTGGGCACGGATCTCACCTGGGCTTACTTACCTGGATAATCCTGGTTATTTGGCAGGGGATGAATAATCTATAGCATCCTTATTGAATATTTGTCCATTGACACGTTTCAGTTACAGTGACTCAGTTGTCCATATAGCCCCTCCAATAGTCTAGCTCAGATTTATTCACATTGTGGCAGAGTACGAAAGAGTGTTCAAGGCCCTGAAGGTGTAGCTCTGAACTTCTGCATCATATTCTCTGTATTCTATTTGAGATGGTCAAAGCAAGCCATTCCAAATTAAAGGGGGTGTGGAAATAGCTCTATTTCTTCATAGGAAGAGCAGCAAAGATTTTGTGACCATTTGCAACCTACCATAGTTCTGACCTATGCTTTCACATCTAGAAGCAAACTCTTTGCACACCAGTTACTATTGATTTATGATTACCTATACCCTAAAATCAATACCATCGCCAACTCCTCTAAAACCCAAACACATACAAACTTCTTCGTCCACCTTTTGAAATCTTACCCATATTATGTGTTTTAATTCAAATGACACCTACTCTTCAAAGTTTTCTTTAGTTTATCAGAACAGAATTATTAATCATTTCATTCTCAGATATCTCAGATCACTTTAAAAACATCCTTTCTGTACCTCTCATTTATGTCATAATATGCAAGGGTAATGGTGTACACTTTTGTTTTTAATTAGTTTGAAAGATGTTTCATGTAGGTTAAAATCTTACTTTTCTTTGAATGGGAAAAATAATGAGTAGAGAGTTTCTGCGCACAGTGGGTAAAATAATTTTGGCAAATTAATAAACATCCTTTTCAATGCAAGAATATCATTAAGAGCCCTTGATACTCTTCCTGCCTCCCTAGGATTGCTAAAAGCCATTTTACAGTGTTTCCAGGCCAGATATCACTCATTGATTTTACATTCCTAATCCTTAACAGAGAGATTACTCAAAGGGATATCTTAAAAATATTTCACAGTTTGTTCTAATTTGGATGAATGTGATTTTGGCATCTCCTGCTTGAGATGCAGTGATTAAGCTGAAAATTATTTCTTCTCTCCTACAGTGTTTCCCTTTGGTTTGGCATACAGTAAACGTAAGTTGTGACCTGGTATATTAGTGATTTGTAGTTTAGAGTGTTAAATAGATTTTACCAAGGCCTAGTTATATTTGTTTATGAAAGGATGAAATTTGAAAGAGTTTCCTATAAAATCCTTAAACATCAAACCTATTTTCAAATTACCCTCTCTCTCCATTCCACAACCCTAAAAACAATTACTTTGAAACATTACATACAGGGATTAAAAAGATCATAAAACTACAGAGTTGAAAGAATCTTGAAAATCATGTATATTTTCTATACAAATGAAACCAAAGTAATCTATGCCTATTTCTAGAATATGCCCATGGGCTAAGTACTTTATCAGATATATCAAAGATACAGCCATAATAAAGGCACCTAAGAGCTTATGGGTTTAATTTCAGCTGTAAGATGTGTACACAATAACTATGATACAGGGTAGACAGTAGGGGAGGGTTTTATAAAAGCACAACTATTGCTACATGGATTTAGAGTAAAAGCCAGCTTTATGGTAGAAATGGTATGTGACATGGGACTTGAAGGAAAGGTGATTTGGATTTGTAGGTATAAGGATGTTGAAAGGGGACTGTGCAAGGAAAGAGACAAGTCTTTAAGTTTAAATGTGTAAGATAACTAGTAGATAAAGCTATTTTAGAAAAAAACTTACAAAAATATTATTGAATACATTTCAAAGTTTTAATGAATATGCCATTCTTACATTGAAGAATATAGTAATGCTGACTGTTTCAATCATAATTTTCATATTCATGATCGTATTCTTATGAGTAAATTCTTTTTATACTCACCCAGTCTTTTTCTCCAGTCTTCAGTTGCAGCAGCAAGTTGCTAAGGTAGAGGCAAATTAAATTCTCTTTAAAATGCCTTTAAGAAGATGAAATGGAAACAGATCAATTAAAACTGACAAAAAGAAATAAGTCAATTAGAAGTTGGACTAAAAAGTAACATTTTTGAGGGGAGAAGTATTTTAACATTCACATTATTTTGAATTGCCAGTGCATAGTGATAATAAAAAGCAGAATAGGCCGGGCGCGGTGGCTCAAGCCTGTAATCCCAGCACTTTGGGAGGCCGAGGCGGGTGGGATCACCGGGGTCCAGGAAGATTGAGACTATCCTGGCCTAACCATAGGTGATACCCCGTCGTCTACTAAAAATAAAAAAACTAGCCGGGCCGTGGTAGCGGTCGCCTGTAGTCCCAGCTACTTGGGAGGCTGAGGCGGGAGAAATGTCGTGAACCCCGCGGGGGCGCGGGAGCTGCAGTAGCCCGAGATCGGGCCCACTGCACCTCCAGCCCTGGGAGCACAGTGCAGGACTCCGTCTCAAAGAAAAAAAAAAT